ATCTTCTCGTCCTCCTCCTCCTCCTCCTCCTCCTCCTCCTCCTCCTCCTCCTCCCCCTCATCTTCCTATTTCTGCAGCTCCCCCTTTCCGATTGCGCAGAAACGAAGGGTTGTTGCTTGAGTTCCAGGTCCGCTATGACACGCTTCTGCGGATAGAGAAAAATCATAGCAGTGTGAAGGGACGGGAAGGAGGGGTAGGATGTCAGATATGGCGCGAGCGCACCTAGCTTGCCTGCTCTTCTCCCCCCTCCCCCACCACGCTCCTCCGAACGGGGAGCGCCGTCCCAGTCGAGTGTGCCGAAGAGGGGGGGCGGGAAGAGGGATGCCATGTCCTGATTTGTTCAACACGCGATCCCCGGAAGTTTTTGACCCTTTCCAAGGGACCAGTTTTTCATTCCGAGTCGTTGTCTGACCGTCCCGCGGCCCCGCGAGGGCCCCAGGAGGCCCAAAACGGCGAGAAATCTTCCGCACATGCGACGCGAGCATGTCTGGGATGATACTCCTCCCCCTCCTCGTCCTCCTCCTCCTCCTCCTCCTCCTTCTTCTCCTCCTCCTCCTCCTCCTCGTTTCTCCTCCTCCTCCTCCTCCTCCTCCTCCTCCTCCTCCTCCTCCTCCTCCTCCTCCTCCTCCTCCTCCTCCTCCTCCTCCTCCTCCTCCTCCTCCTCCATTCCTTCTCCTTATAGATAACTCCACCCTGCGGCATGCCGAGGCAAGTTTTTAGGGCGGGCCGGGCGTTTCGCCTGAGACTTCCTGCCCATTTATGACCCTGAAGCTTACAAGTGGCAACAACTTCACAGATGGAGGGCGGGTGGTTTTCAAAATGTGGCTCTCGCCTGAGCGCCGCGCACATTCGTTTAAAAATGTGCAAGGGCTTCACGGATTGAGGGCGGCTCCTTTTCAAAATGTGGCTCTGGCCTTTGCGCCGCGTATATTCGCTTTACAACCGTGCAAGCGTTTCACTGATCGAGGGCGGTTTCTTTTCAAAATGTGGTTTTCGCAGTAGCACCGCGCACATGCCTTTAACAAACATGCAAGAGCTTCACGGATTGAGGGTGGGTCGTTTTCAAAAAGAAGCTCTCGCCTGAGCGCCGCGCACATTCGTTTAAAAATGTACAAGGGCTTCACGGATTGAGGGCGGCTCCTTCTCAAAATGTGGCTCTGGCCTTTGCGCCGCGTACATTCGCTTTACAAACGTGCAAGAGCTTCACTGATCGAGGGCGGTTTCTTTTCAAAATGTGGTTTTCGCCTTAGCGCCGCGCATATGCCTTGAACAAACATGCAAGAGCTTCACGGATTGAGGGTGGGTCGTTTTCAAAAAGTAGCTCTCGCCTGAGCGCCGCGCACATTCGTGAAATAAATGTGCAAGTGCTTCACGGATTGAGGGCAGCTCCTTTTCAAAATGTGGCTCTGGCCTTTGCGCCGCACACATTCGTTTTGAAAAATTGCAAGAATTTCGCTGATCGAGGGCGGTTCCTTTTCAAAATGTGGCTCTCGCCTTAGAGCCGCGCACATTCGTTTTCAAGAATTGTACGACTTTCACGGATTCCCATCATCAACGTACCAGAAATGGTGTTTGGGAAGGAATCAGGATCTTGCGGGCAAAACAGTTATGTTGATTCGCTGTGTTGAAGTCCCAAAAATGGCGTTCTGACACGATTCTGGATCGTCAAGACGCAGCAGTCAGGTTGATACGTGGCGTCGAAATCCCGAGGAAATGTGTTGGCACGCTTCAGGATCTTCAGACTGTTGTCTTCTAACGAGGCAGTCCCCTCAATGGAAATGAACCACTGTAGGGGCCTGTGAAGAGGGAGCTTGGAGGGAGGGTAAATTCCAACATCGTTGATGATTCTTGGGTTGGCACTGGTCCTCCTCCTCCTCCTTCTGCTCCTCATCCTCCTCATCATCATAAATCATCATGATCATCATCATCATCATCATCATCATCATCATCATCATCATCATCATCATCATCATCATCATCCCCTCATCATCATCCTCATCATCATCATCATCATCATCGTCATCGTCATCGTCATCGTCATCGTCATCGTCATCATCATCATCATCATCATCATCATCATCATCATCATCATCATCATCATCATCATCATCATATTCCTCATACTCATCCTCATCCTTTTCCTCCTCCTCCTCCTCCTCCTTCTCCTCCTCCTCCTAGCGCAAGCTCGACCCGAGCACCCCTGGGCTCCCCGCCAGCCAGCGCTATCGGAACCCTCGCTCCTTCCTGTCCTCCCCACAGCGCCCATTTCCGGCACGGGCTTTCGGTGGCGCCGGCGCGACGCCCCCGCCGGCCAAACCGGACGGCGGCCGAGTGGAGGGCCCAGTACCGCAGGGCCGAGGGCCGCGCGGTGCAGCGCCTTCTCGGCGCCTTCGATGAATTGCGCGGCCATCGCGGCGCCGAGCCGACGCGCCTTGGCGCGGCGCTCGCGGCCGCGCTCGCGGCCGCGCTCGCAGAAGCTGGCGGACCCTGAGGAGGCTGGTTGCGCTCCTGGCGGTGGCAGTGCTGCTGCCGAGGGCGATGGCGGCCCATGCGAGCTCGCAGCCGCCCCCCCTCTCCCTGGGCCTCGCGGTCGTGGCGACGAGGAGCGTGCTGTCGGCGGGGCCGCCTCGAGCGCCTTCAAGGAGCCAATCAAGGCGAGTCTCCCTTGGAGGTGCCGCAGGAGCCAATCAAGGCGGTGGCAGAGGCAACGGCCACCCTGGTCGAGCCCTCGGCGACGTGGCGATGCAGGCTGGACGCGACAGTGCCGCACAGAGATGGGGATCCAGCGCGGAGCGGGCTCGGCTCCTCGGCGACGCCGACGTCCTGCGGGGCGGTGCGCCGAGGCGCGAGTTCGGGCCCCCACGGGGGATGACTTCCCAGCAGGGAAGCGCTGCAGGCCAGAATCCGTGGCGGCGGTCGCGACGGGGCCGAGGATCGACTGGAGCGCGGTGCAGGCGGCTCCAGCGACGGTCCCAGGCTCGACCCCAGCAGACTGCAAGCAGAGCTGACCCCACTGGCTTCCTGAGAAGAAGCAGCGCCGCATACCCAAGGAGGCCTCTAGAGAAGAGGGAGGCGTGTACTTGGGGAGGGGCAGCCGCATGTACCCAGCGAGGCCCCTAGAGGAGAGGGGGGCGTGTACCTGGGGAGTGGCCAAAGTTGTTCAGAGTTGCAGTGCATGGGCATGTTGTAGCTGTGATGCTCTCGTATTTTGTCAATGTTCGGAGATTCGTGTACTTTCCATTCCCTGTCTTGTGAAGCAACACGATCAGTCGTCTTGGATATCTGAGATATGGTGAGTACAATGTTTGTGGCTGCGGGCTTTAATATTCCATCAACTTGTGCTTTGCTTATCGCGCCCTGTGTCATGCGTACTCACTAATAAAAGGCTCGTTTTCTCGTGGGCAAGTGGCCCCTGAGTTTGCGTCCTGTGCGTCATGCGTGCTCACCGATAAGAAGCTCGATTATCGTGGGGAAGTGGCCTATGAGTTAGCCCCGCCCAGGCCGAGGTCGTCTCGTTTTGTTTGGCAGGGTGACGTTCCCCATCGCTTCGCGATTGCTCCAGTCCAAACCAGTCCTCCTCCTCCTCCTAAGCTGGAACGCACACATGGCCGGAGACTCCTGCGTGGAACATGTGGAGAGGCTGCGCGCTGGAGGCACGTGCGCAAGCCCTGTGCATCCACGGCCACGTAGGGGAGCCGAGCGCTGGAAGGGCACCTGGCCACGCGTGTACGGCAGGTTGGTGTCGTGCCGATTTCGACATTGGTTCCTGGCACCGCGGGGATCCTTCAACCTTGAACGACCGGCGGTTTCCCAAACGTCCGGAACCTGCCGCATTCAGCTCTCGCCTGGTCCAGCCGCGCCATGCCCTGAGATCCTGGCGACTCTGTTTCTGGTCGAGCCGGACGTTTTCGCGCAACTTTCGGGCCCCGGACCCTCACAGATAGATCTGGCTCGAAAAACGGCGCAGAAAGATGGAGCCCAGGCTCCAGTCGTATTTTTTTACGATGCTTCAACTTTTTCGACAGGTCGGATCTCCGGGTGGGGTCCCTCAATCACATGCCATCTTCGCGGCGATCTCCCTACTTCCGCTGGCTTCCGCCGGCCTTCCGCCGGCGGATCCGCAGCCGTTTTGCTTCCGCCCGCTTCCGCCGGCCTGCCGCCGCCTTCTGTCAAGGAAGAGGCGTCCCCTTCGCGATCTCTCGAAGGCAAGGCCCTTTCTGGAGCACCCCGTGTGTGCTTGTGTGTCCAGTTTTTTCCTGGAACGGTGAGGGCATTGGGTAAGGAACTCAAGGCCTAGAAGCTGTTGGGACTCCCATCGTGGACTGGCCATGGATATCACCACCGCCCTCCTTAGAGAGGGAATCCTCAAGGGTCTGAAGCCTCAAGGGCGCATTCCTTAACCAACGCCCTCGCCGTTCGGGTGTTGCTAGAAGCGCCCCTGGCCCCAGGCGTCCCCAGGATCGCCAAGGAGCCCCCCACGGCCCCAGGTACCCCCAGAATCTCCACGAAGCCCAGAGGGCCCCAGTAGGTCCAACATTGAGCGAAAAGCTGGGGGCACCCTTACAACAGGGTCACCTTTAGCAACCCTCGAACCGTACTCCGAGCTTCTTAGGAAGCGTCGGGGGGGCGTCACCCCCGCCGACAGCCCCACATCGACCCCCGTCGCGGGCAGCCACCGCGTGCCGAAGGCGCTCCGACACCCGTCGCGGCGCGACGAAGAGGCGAGGTTGACCCCCGTCGGGGGGGTACTCCCCCACGCTTATTCAGAAACCCGGAGTAATCCCCGCCCCCCGGTCCGACGCCCCCGGCTCCGCGGGACGGGCATGTGCACGGACCAGGGTGGGCTGGGGAACGTATTGAAATAAGACGGGGACCATGAAATCTGGGGAAATCTCATGGCCCTGGCCATGAGATCCCCCCCTCCCTGGTCATCAGCCCCCTCTTGGCCGCCCCCGAGGACGGAGGGGGGGGGGGGGGGCGCCCCAGAGAGGCCGGGGGGCCTGGTCTCGGTCATGTCGCCGTCCTGCCGAGGGAGGGGCGACAGGCCGAGCCTGGGAGAGAAGCTGCCGAGAGGTTGGAGGAGGAGGAGGAGGAGGAGGAGGCGGCGGAGGCGGAGGAGGAGGAGAAGGAGGATTGGAGTACCATTAGGGGAACGAACACTGACATAAACATCAAACTCGGAGGTCCGCGCGGATTCCTCGGATCGGCGCTGGACCCCCCTGGCAGCGCCTCCGGCGCCGCCCCTCCAGGTTTTTATGTTTATGTCATCCTTCGTTTCCCTAACCAATTGGGAGTTGCTCTGGAACAGGTTTGGAGGGGGGCGCTCGCAGCGACGAGAGTCCTCACCGCGGTCGGGGGCAACCCTGGGATGCAACGGGGCCGGATGGGGCACAGCAGGACCTGCTCCACAGCAGGAGCATATCGTGGACGTGTCTATCCTGTCTCCGACCCTGTACTGCGCCGAACAGAATGGCCGCGTCGTCTACAGACGCATCCACCCCGCCTGTGTCTATGTACGCTGCGACAGCCAATGTGTATGTAGACGCCTGTGGCCAGAACGTGAGAACGCATGTCACACAGACCGCGGAGATGGGTCTTCCAGAAGCAGGAAGACTTCGCCCTCCAACCGAGAGGTGCTCCAGGCCCAAGGCGTCCCCCGGCCCGCTGGGGCCTTCAGGGTCTCGCAAGGGGGTGCTCCCAGACTTTTCGTCGGCGGCGCCTCGGATCCAAGTTGCGCTCGTGGCTACGGCAGGGCTGCTGCGGAGCGCGATTTGGGCACAAAGGCAGCGAGGAAGGCAGGGAGGGAAGGGGAGGGCCGCGGACGGCTGGAGCGCCATCAGAGCGTGAAGTTCTTCGGGGTGTGCTGGAGACAAGCTCGGCAGGTCCCCGAGGGAAGATCGAGACGGCCGATTTTTCTTCCAGCTTGGGCCTTCGGAGGCTGGACTCGGGCCCTGGGGACCGTCAAGAAACGACTCAGGGTGAAAGGCCGGTCCTGGGGAAGGGGCCGAGGGTTCCGGGGGCCCACGTCTCAAAACATCGGGACGCCACATGCCTGGGCTCCTGGACGCCACCTGGGCCTCACAGGGGAATCCTGGGGACGCCTTGGGCGCCAGGGACACCCCCGTGGTAGCACCCGACGAGCGGGGGAGGAGGCGGGGCGGGGGGCGGGCGGCGGGAGGCGGGCGCACGGCGGCCCCGCAAGCTTTTGGTTTGAGGGCTACGATGGGAGCGGACACCACGCCTCAACTGTCAGCACGAAGTTGCGAATGCCGCCACACCACTACGCTCTAGGAGGCACCTACAGATGCGGCCCGGGAGGCTGCGGCCCGACAAGCTGTAGAGTGACCCTGGGCGAGAGTGACCTGTGGTGCGCGGCATGCCGATCGCTGCATGTGACGCGACGGTGGCGGCGCGCGTGCTTGGCTTTGGCCCCCCCCCGGCGCCCCCGCAAACCGTGCACCGATGGTCGCTCCAGCGAAGGTCCCCCTCGCGTGTCGCAGAACAGGGAGCAAACCAATAGGCCCGGTCAAGCCAGATCAGCCGACCCCGGATACCGAGGGTCACACAAGAAGTGGACGTCTCGATGTTTACGTCCAGCGCCTTCAGCCGAGCTTCCGCCGGCGCACTCGCCGCCAATGTGTTTCATTTTCGGCGCCCTGCCCCTCATGAGTGAGATCTGGAGGTCTGGTGCTGGGCCACCCGCCCGTGCAAAAGGAGCTCTAGAACACAACACTGTGCGCCAACGAGGCGACATCGACCCCAGTCGTCGGGAAGGGACCCCAACCCCAAGGCTTCCCTCGAGCCGCTCCCCCCCCCAGCGGCTCGTCCTGGGACTGCACCCCGTCGCCTGGCAGCTTGCGCCGGAGGCTCTCGAGCGACCTGCGGGCACGCACGTGAGCGCGGGGCGGGGTGCAGAACTGCCTGAGAGCATGCCCCCGATGGGAGGCGAAGGGTGCTGGACAGCCGACGCGTACGAGAAGGGTGCACGGCAAGTATGCAGGGACGTTTGAGGGCCATGTTGACACTTTGCGCGCGGGGCGCGGCCAGCGAAAGTGGCCAGGGATGGGCCGCAGGGGGAGAATGCAAAGGTGACCTTGGGAAGTCGCTCATCCTTACTATGCGCTTTGACTGTATGAGAAAGCCAGGTTCCTCTGGGGACTGGTTTTCCCCCAAGTCAAATCAAGTCAAGCCTGTATGTCCGCAAAGGGGTGGCCACGTATGGCACAGGCGGGGAGAACAGCAAAACGTTTTATGGCCCGCGCAGCAGAACAGAGCGCATTGAACAGACCGAAACCCTCCCGAAACCCTTCAGACACCAGCTGAAAATCCTCCCAGAACCCTCCCGGGAGGGTTTTCGGAGGGTTTCGGAAAAAGTTGCGGCCGTTTGGCCAAACCTGGCGAAACCTGGCCTTTCTGAGAGCAGCATGTACATACACCGATCCTGGCCAGACGCATCCTGGTCCCAGGATCGGTGCATACGCCTATGAGCACACTTCTCTCCACCAGACCTGACCTCGGATCGATCGACTCGTCTGCACCACCAAGCCGATCAGATCAAGCTTCGTCCGTGGACGAGAGGAGTCGGGCGCCCCTGGGGTGGGAACACGGAAAAGCGGCACCACCATCACCAGGGACCACCAGCGGGAGGAGCCAGGGGGGTCCCCCTGGTGGTATGGCCCCTCCCTCTCGCTCGAGACATCCCCTCTCCAGCTCAGGGAGGCATCGTGGACCTCCTCGCTGAAGGTGGCCCCCCTGGTGGAGGGGTGGGGCGCAATCGAGTCGATCGGCGCCACGCGCAGGACACCAGCACGCACCATTGAGCAGATCGGATCGTGGGCAGCTCTGGATCATGGCAGGACAGCAGGGAGTCGCAGAGAGGATCTGGTTGTCGGTAGACGGAGCAGATGCACGAGAGAGACAGAGAGAGATAGAGAGAGAGAGAGCATGAGTGTATACATATATTTATATGCATACAGAGAGGATGGAAGAGAGAAAGAGAGAGGACGAGAGAGGGAGCGAGAGAGAGAGAAAGGAATGGAGGGAGACAGATACACAGACATCTGGCGGCGCAGCCTTTTCGAAACCTCTGCCCCTGAGCCTCTCGAGCCCTTCCCGCGGGGCCGGCTTCCCGTCACGGGCAGTGTTTCGATGGGTTCGATTCCGAGAGCAGTCCGCGAAAACCCAGAATTCTGAAACAACGGTCGTCTCCATTCTTTCGAGCCGCCAGCTGTCCGAGAGAGAGAGGAAAAAGAGAGAGAGAGAAGAAGAATAATAACAATAACAACAACAACGACAAAAACCACAACAACAACAACAACAACAACAACAACAACAACAACAACAACAATAACAACAGCAACAACAACAACAAAAGAGATAAGGAGAGCGATAAGGAGAGAGAGAGAGAAAGAGAGAGCGAGAGGGATAGACAACCACAACAACCACCACCACCACCACCACCACAACAACAATAACAACAACAACAACAACAACAACAACAACAACAACAACAACAACAATAACAACAATCATTTTACCCGAACGCTCAGTGTTCTCACCAGTGCCAGGGTTTTCATACGACGCCCGCCAATACCCCCACTTTGTGGGGGGGCCGGTTCAAGCTCTACCACATTTCCAAACGACTCTTCGCCACCACCCACACCCAGCTTCCCGCCCTATGACGTTCGGACACTTCACTTCGTGGCATGCGGACGACCGTGGCTACTACACTGGCGCATGGTTTCAATGACTTCTTGTGGTAACATCTTGTGGAAACTAGCTTAGTATACGACGACGACGATTTGAAGGGCCTACGGTGCGAAAAATGATTTTATGTTGCGCGGTGCTAAAATTCCTACGAAACCCAATGGTTTTTGAAGATTTCGGCGTGCGCACGGAAAGAAAAAACGAATGTGTCCCGCATGGTATTATTTGACAGGGATGATGGCCCTGGCAGGTGCGCAACCGTTGTTGGAGAAGTTCGAAGCACGTGAAGAAGTTGATCGCAAAAGCCCGTTTGACAGAAATGTTTAAAAAAGTTGGGTTTCCTGCAAATCCGCAAGAGCGGGCGGGATGAAATTGTGACATTTTTTTTTTTTAAAAAAAAAAAAAATAGGTTTTTTGATGTTTTTATGTTGAAATCGTTACGAACACTAAGGTTTTGGAAGGATTTCGTCTTGCGCGCGCGAATGTCCACTTTACCTTATTTTTTGCAAGGGATTCTTGAAGTTTGGTTATTTTAGAACAAGAAATTTCATTTTATAGTGTTTTTTGCAAGGGACAGCGGGGGGGAACAAAACAACCGGATCTTGATGACATCGTATTACCTGAGGCTTCCTCACGAAAATGATGAAAATGTAGCTGCGGCCTAGGCGCGGCGAGGGGGTCGCGCACCAGGGGTCCCAACAATAATTATTCTTTAGAATAAATAATGTTCAACAACAACAACAACAACAACAACAACAACAACAACAACAACAACAATTACTAGCACGTGGGGACACTCCGTTCTCACCAGTGCCAGGGTTTTCATAGGAGGCGGGCAATACCCCCACTTTGTGGGGGGGCCGGTTCAAGCTCTACCAAATTTCCAAACGACTCTTCGCCACCACCCACACCCAGCTTCCCGCCCTATGACGTTCGGACACTTCACTTCGTGGCATGCGGACGACCGTGGCTACTATTCAGGGCCCCGCGGCCGACGACGACGGCGTGCGCGCGCGAAGAAAAAACGAATGTGTCCCGCATGGTATTATTTGACAGGGATGATGGCCCTGGCAGGTGCGCAACCGTTGTTGCAGAAGTTCGAAAAAGTTGCTCGCAAAAGCCCGTTTGACAGAAATGATTAAAAAAGTGTTGGGTTTCCTACGAATCCGCAAGAGCGCGCGGGATGAAATTTTGACAATTTTTGTTTGAAAAACCATTGGTTTTTTATGTTTTTATGTTAAAATCGCTACGAAAACTAAGGTTTTGGAAGGATTTCGTCTTGCGCGCGCGAATGTCCACTTTACCTTATTTTTTGCAAGGGATTCTTGAAGTTTGGTTATGTTAGAACAAGAAATGTCCACTTTAGCTTATTTTTTGCAAGGGAAAACCGATCGTAACAACACAACCGGATCCGGACCAACCCGTTTTGCCTGAGACTTCCTCACGAAAATGATGAAAATGAGGCTGCGGCCTAGGCGCGGCGGGGGGGTCGCGCACCAGGGGTCCCAACAATAATTATTCTTTAGAAATAATAATGTTCAACAACAACAACAACAACAACAACAACAACAACAACAACAACAACAACGACGACGACGACGACGACGACAACAACCACAACAGCAACAAACACAAGAGCAACAACCACGACAACAACAGCAATAATCACAACAACTACAACAACAAGTACTACAGCAACAGCAACAACGAGAGCAGCAGCAGCAACAACAACAACAACAAACTACCTTACCCCTGGCCAAGCGCACTCCACGACAGCCCCGAAACTTCGTCTACACACCATCCGGACCAGTTCCTCGAGCCCAACACAGATCGTGTCGGCGACGGCCGCCTTCGGCGGCCAAAGGAAGGGTGCACCGTACAACGCGCGAGGGTGGAAGACAAATGCACCGCCAGGAAGCTTCACATCCACGGCTGCTGGAGCCTTACCCTGGATCCCTGGGGAAGGATGGACACGGATACCGTTCCCGCCCTCGACGGCGGGAAGACATCCAGACCCACCACTCCCAAGGAGGTCCTACAGACTCCGAGGCAAGACTCCGAGGCGGTAGACATGGACATCCTGGCGGTGGAAAGAGATTGTTTTTTTTTTTTCCTGACTGTCAGTGGCTGACACCGTGGTCAAGGGACGATTGCGTTATCTATCAGCGGTCCAGCCAGGCAGCCAAGGCCTGGCTCGAAGGCTCGAGCCAGGACGGTTCAGGACTTAGCTCTGACCGTCCAGCACTCTCTCTGCCTCGGACCTTGCTCGTGGGCCTCGAACTATTCGACCCCACCAGCGGGCAGAGGGAAGCGTGATCCAATCAGCTGGCAGGGGGAGCAATAAACACGGCTGGGCACCTGCTTCAGGGCTCTGACGCATGGTCGGCCAATACATGTTGTTTTTGGCGTCTGGAGGCCAGTCCCGGGGTTCGGGGCCGTCATGACACGACGCGGGATTCAAATTGCCGCGATACGCCCGTGCTGAAACGCAGCCCGTGTCGTGTGGAAGCGGACAGGTTGCACACGCTGCGTGCTGATTCTGCATGTATTGGCCTGAGCTGTGCCCAGATGTAGCATTTTGCTACAGGAGGCGTGTTTCGCGTCGGGGCGGCCAAGCCTGGGATGAGACGGCCGGCCCTGGAAAGAGATCGGAGGGTCCGGGTGCCCGCGCGTCGGAGCAACCGGAACGCCCGACGTCCAGAGCGGGGGTCCTACCAGCGCTTCGCAACTGAGAACAGGGATGGACTGGAAAGAGATGGGGGAGCGTGGAGCTCAGAAGAGAGGAGCGGTGAAAGGCTGATTATATTTGCGTACTGGAAGGGAGAAAGGGGAGGTTGAGTAGAACCCCGTAAGGAGTTTGACCATACGGCCCCAACACTCGCCTTGCCGACTCTCCTCTGACTCGATCTCGAAGATCCTGCCAACGAGCAGGTGGGAGCTTGAAGATACGGCCAAAGCAGGCACGCCCATGCGCACCAGAGATGGGCATAGATATGCATGCACTCACTCACTCACTGAAGCCCTGCTGCTGAAGACGGCCGCTACGACATCTATCGCTTCTGTGTTTTCGAACGACCGCGCAGTGCACATATGCACATGCATACGCGTCACGAGACGCGCATGGTACGCACGTGCCGCGAGCGTGCACGGAACGCTTCCCAGCATGATGGGCGGCGGCAAAACCGAGCGCACATACCCCGCAATAGGAACGCCAAAAGCAGAAAGACGCGAACTTCGAGCGCGGCACGCCGCGGGGGCGGGACAGCGGATAACATACATGGCCGACCCCAGAAACCCTGAATACACAAACGATGACGTCTAACGTTTGCCTCCTCCGGCCTTCCGCTGGCTTCCGCCGAGGGCGAGACGCGACGAACGCCAGGCCCCTTCTGCAGCAGCCCACACCCCGGCCAGGAGGAAGAGGAGAAAGAGAAGGAGTAAAGGGAAGCGAGAGACCGAGAGAGACAGAGAAACGGAACGTGGACGAGGGCGGACCCACTCGGCGCATCCACTGGCCAAGGGGCACCCGCACGGAGGCGCGAGCGCCAGAGGACTGGGAGGGCAGGTCTCCCCTCCGCCTCCGCCACGGTTGCTGCCACGCTTCGCCACACGCGGGCGCCCCGCTGTGGGGATGGGGTCCGGCGCCGCGGCGCGAAGCTTCTGGGCCGCAGCGCTGGCGGGCGCCAGCGCGACTGCAGAGCCAGCGGGCCGCGCCGGGCACTGGGAGCACCAGAGAGCGGGTGGAAAAGCGCAGGGTGGCCGCGGAGGAGGAGGGGGGGAAGGCTGGCCGCCGAGAGTCGGCGGAGGTCGAGCGCAACGTGGCGCGACGCAGAGGGCCGAGCCTCCCGGGCGGGCTCTGAGATCGCCCCGCCCCGCCGCCGCCCGCGGCTGCCTCGCACCGCCCGCGCCCGCCCCCAGGGCTCGGGCAACACTCCGGGGAGGGCTGGCAGCGGGCCGCCCCCAAAGGGAGGGGGGGGATGGCAGGTCCTCCCGAGGGCCCCGCACGCGCCTCAGCTGCCCGTCGTCGTCGTGGTCTTCGTCGTCGTCGTTGTGGTCGTCGTCGTGGTCGTCGTCGTCGTCGTGGTCGTCGTCGTCGTGGTCGTCGTCGCGGTCTTCGTCGTCGTCGTGGTCGCCGTCGTGGTCGTCGTCGTCGTCGTCGTCGTCGTGGTCGTCGTCGTCGTCGTCCGTTGCGCGGGCGCATCGCCGAGCGCGCACGCGACGTCTTCTGCAGGCGGGTTCGCTGCGTTGCCCTGGCAGGAGCTGGCGGCCGTGCTGGCTGGGGACGTGCTGGGGGTGGCGTGCTGCGCGGGTGACCCGGGGCCGCCCGCAACCCTGAAGGAGGGAGGGAGGAGGAGGAGGACGACGAAACCATGTGCATCAGGGAAGAGGAAGAGGAGGAAGAGTATGAGGAGGAGATGGAGATGGAAGAGGAGGAGGAGGAGGAGGAGGAGGAGGAGGAGGATCTCTGCCTCTAGCCACCCCTTGGCGAGGGGTCGGCGCCGCCGGGGCACGCGAGCGCCCTCGAGCAGAAGGGGCCTCGCCGTGGCCCCCGGCCGCGCGGCGCGCGGAGGCGTGCGGGGTCCGCGCCTGTCGACGCTCTCCGACTGCAGGTCGAAGCGCTCCTGCAGGGCTGACTGCAGCTGGCGGATGTCGCGGACGGCGGCCTCTTGGCCCTGCGGGGGGGGGGGGGGGGACCACAGAGAGAGAAGGGTGGGGGGAAGAGAGTGGGGGGAGGGGGCAAGCGAGGTGCGCTTGCGCCATACGTGACATTCTGCAACCCCCTCCCAAACTCATCCTGTCCCGCCGCGCTTGGGTTGTCGCTGTCCGCCAACGCGTGTCGTGGCGGACCTGGAACTCCAAAAATGGCCAACCGTGTAATGCGCAATCTCACAAGGAGAACGTACATTGGAGGAGAAGGTGACGGATGAGCAGGATGATGAGCAGGAGTAAGTTATCAAGGCGAAAGACCCGACCATATTCAAGTGTGGGTACCGGAAAGCAAGTGGGACGAAGGTGTCATGAAACAGGTGAGGGGTGTGTCGCGATGAGCGGGGTGGCGCCATGCGGGCGATGCCCCTGGTCCCTGGGGCCTTCGCTGAGGCTCTCTGTGGGGTCACGAAACGTGTGAGGGTGTGTCCAACTGGGCGGGGTGACGCCATGCGGGCGCTGTCCTGGGCCGTGGGGCCTTCGCTGGGGCTCCATGTGGGGTCGCGACGTGTGAAGGGCGTGTCGAAATGTGAAGGGTAACGCCATGCGGGCGCTGCCACTAGGGCCCTCGGTGGGACTCTTTGTAGGGGCCCCGAAACGTGTGAGAGGTGTGTCGAAACTGGCGAGCTGATGCCATGTGGGCGCTGCCACTGACGCCTTCGCTGGGGCTCCCTGTGGGGTCACGGAGTGCACGAGGGGTGTGCCGAAATCGGCGAGGTGGCGCCATGTGGGCGCTGCCACTGGGGCTTTCGGTGGAGCTTCCTGCGGGGCCACGAAACGAGTGAGAGGTGTATCGAAGTGGCGGGGTGGCGCCATGCGGGCGCTGCCACGAGGGCCTTGGGTGGAGCTCTGACGAAACGTGTAGGAGGTGTGCCGACATCGGTGTGGCGGCCAAGAGACGAAGACGAGGACGATGATGATGACGATGGTGATGACGATGACGATGGGGACGCGGGATGGGAAGAGGCAGGAGAGGGAGGAAGGAGGAAGGGAGGAGTGACGCGGGACGCTGTGTCTTCAAAACGAGGACCGAACACCAGAGGATGGTTTTAAAAAAAGAGGAAGGAGGAGGACGAGGACGAACAGCAGCAGCGGCAGGAGCTGGAGTGGAACGAGCGGAAGGAGCAAAAGGAACCAGGGGAAGGCGGGGGAGGGGAAAGGAGAGGGGCGCCAACGATGAGCAAGGACTCGGATCCAGAAGAGCGGCCCGCGCTGCGGCGAGAGCGCCATTCTGAACGACGGAAGCAAAGCGACGATCCCTGATGCGAGGCCCAAGCCGCAACAGGAACACCATCTTAAACCGCCGAAATTGCTCCGATGGGAAAACCATAGGAAAGACCAAGTAATGAAATCCAGTGTACCAAAATCTTCCAGGCAGACGGAATATCTTCCAGGCAGAGTCAGGGGAATGAGGAGAGGAGTACGCATATTAAGTATATATGTTTGGGGACGGCGGGAGAGAGGAGAGAGCGAGAAAGAGAAGGCGAGAGAGAGACGGAGAGACAGACAGACAGACAGACAGACAGACAGACAGACAGACAGACAGACAGACAGACAGACAGACAGACAGACAGACAGACACACAGACAGAAAGACAGACAGACAGACAGACGGACAGACAGACAGACAGACGGACAGACAGGCAGGCAGGCAGGCAGTAGGGCAGGTAGGGGAGAACGCGTTTCACGGGCGCTTGCCTTGGGAACATTCGGCGGCGCGTTTCAAACCGGGGGGGGGGGGCCCCCCATCACTCGGCGCCGTCGATCAAAACCAAGGGGAATCCCCTCCCCCCCAAACCCCCCCCCTCCCGAACCTCCCCCCCCCTCGGCGCCAGCGCCGGCGCCGGTGCTAGCGGCCGCCAGCAGCGCCCACGGCGGGGACGCAGCGACGATGACCAGAGGCAGCCCAGACGGGGGGGGAAGGGTTTCAAATCTCCCCCCTTTGGGGCCAGGGGGGGGGGGTTCAAACCCCCCTCCCCCCCCCTCGCGCTGGCGCTGGCGCTGGCGGCGGCCAGCAGCGCCAGCGCTGGCGCCGGCGGGGACGCAGTGACGATTACCACCACTACCCCCTCACCACCATTACCACCACCACCACCACCTCAACCCACCAACGACAACAACAACAACAACAACAATCATTTAAGACTGGGGACACTCCGTTCTCACCAGTGCCAGGGTTTTCATAGGAGGCGGGCAATACCCCCACTTTGTGGGGGGGCCGGTTCAAGCTCTACCACATTTCCAAACGACTCTTCGCCACCACCCACACCCAGCTTCCCGCCCTATGACGTTCGGACACCTCACTTCGTGGCCTGCGGACGACCTTGGCTACTACACTGGCGCATGGGTACAATGACTTGTTGTGGTAACTTTTTCTGCTAGCTAGCTTAGTATACGACTTTTCCCCCTGCAATTGAAGATTTCGGCGTGCGCGCGCGAAGAAAAAACGAATGTGTCCCGCATGGTATTATTTGACAGGGATGATGGCCCTGGCAGGTGCGCAACCGTTGTCGCAGAAGTTCGAAAAAGTTGCTCGCAAAAGCCCGTTTGACAGAAATGTTTAAAAAGTGTTGGGTTTCCTACGAATCCGCAAGAGCGCGCGGGATGAGATTTTGACATTTTTTTGTTGAAAAACCATTGGTTTTTTGATGTTTTTATGTTAAAATCGCTTAAGCTTTTGGAAGGATTTCGTCTTGCGCGCGCGAATGTCCACTTTACCTTATTTTTTGCAAGGGATTCTTGAAATTTGATTATATTAGAACAAGAAATGTCATTTTCTATTGTTTTTTGCAAGGGAAAGCGGATTACAACAAAACAACCGGATCCTGTACACACCCTCTTTTCTGAGGCTTCCTCACGAAAATGATGAAAATGTAGCTGCGGCCTAGGCGGCGCAGGGGGGGCGCGCACCAGGGGGCCCAACAATAATTATTCTTTAGAATAAATAATGTTCAACAACAACAACAACAACAACAACAACAACAACAACAACACTTACTAGCACGTGGGGACACTCCGTTCTCACCAGTGCCAGGGTTTTCATAGGAGGCGGGCAATACCCCCACTTTGTGGGGGGGCCGGTTCAAGCTCTACCAAATTTCCAAACGACTCTTCGCCACCACCCACACCCAGCTTCCCGCCCTATGACGTTCGGACACTTCACTTCGTGGCATGCGGACGACCGTGGCTACTATTCAGGGCCCCGCGGCCGACGACGACGGCGTGCGCGCGCGAAGAAAAAACGAATGTGTCCCGCATGGTATTATTTGACAGGGATGATGGCCCTGGCAGGTGCGCAACCGTTGTCGCAGAAGTTCGAAAAAGTTGCTCGCAAAAGCCCGTTTGACAGAAATGTTTAAAAAGTGTTGGGTTTCCTACGAATCCGCAAGAGCGCGCGGGATGAGATTTTGACATTTTTTTGTTGAAAAACCATTGGTTTTTTGATGTTTTTATGTTAAAATCGCTCCGAACACTAAGCTTTTGGAAGGATTTCGTCTTGCGCGCGCGAATGTCCACTTTACCTTATTTTTTGCAAGGGATTCTTGAAATTTGATTATATTAGAACAAGAAATGTCATTTTATAGTGTTTTTTGCAAGGGAAAACGGATTACAACAAAACAACCGGATCTTGATCACATCGTATTACCTGAGGCTTCCTCACGAAAATGATGAAAATGTAGCTGCGGCCTAGGCGGCGCAGGGGGGCCGTGCACCAGGGGTCCCAACAATAATTATTCTTTAGAATTAATAATGTTCAACAACAACAACAACAACAACAACAACAACAACAACAACAACAACAACAACAACAACAACAACAGCAACACACAACCACCACCACCACCACCACCACCACCACCACCACCGCAGCCACCACCACCACCACCACAACCACCACCACAAATCACCATCACCACCACCACAACAAAAACCCACAGCCACTACCACCACCACCACCACCACGACAATCTACCACACAACCACCACCACCACCGCCACAACTACTACCAGCAGCACAACCCACCGCCACCACCACAAACCACCAGCACCACCACCACCAGCACCAGCGCCACCACCATCACCACCACCACAACAAACGTCCAAAAACCACCGCCACCACCACAACCCACCACCACCACCACAAACCACCACCACAAACCACCACCACACCACCACAACCACCACAACTCACCATCACCACCACCACCACCACAAAAATCCACCACCATTACCACCACCACCACCACCACCACCACAATCTACCACACCACCACCACCACCGCCACGACCACCACCACTACCAGTAGCACAACCCACCACCACCACCACCACAAACCACCAAGCCACCACCACCACCACCACCGCCACCACCACCACCACCAGCACCACCTCTACAAACCACCGCCACAACCACAAGCCACCACCACCACCACCACCCACCACCACCACCACACCACCACCAAACCACCACCACCACCACCACCACCACCCACCACCACCACCACCACAAACCACCACAACAAACCACCACCACACCACCACCACCAACCACCACCAAACCACCACCACCCACCGCCACAACCACCACCACCACAACAAACCGCCACACCACCACCACCACAACCACCACCACCGCCACCACCACCAACACCACAACCCACCACCACCACCACCCGCTCCCCGCCGCGCCGCCCACTCCCCGTCGACGCTCCCCGCCACCGCCGCCGCCGCCCGCCACCGCCGTCGTCCTTGTCGACGCTCCCCGCCACCGCCGCCCGCCGCCGCAGGCGGCTGGCGCCGGCCCAGGAATGGAAATCGTCGTCCCCGCCGCCGTCGCCAGCCGCCGCCGACACAAGCGCCGGCCCGAGGAGAGGGGAAGCAGGGAGGGAAGGGCGGGGGTTTGAACCCCCCCCTTCTCCGTCACGGGGGGGGTTCGAAACCCCCCCCCCTTCCATCCAAGGGGGGGGGGGGTCTGGTTCCAACCCCACCCCCCTCCAAGCGACCACAGAACGCGCTCTTTCGCAGGTAGGGAGGCAGGCAGGCAGGCAGGCAGGCAGGCAAACAGACAGATATAATGAGCCCTCAGAGGAATAGCAATGCTACCACCCATCATAGCGACGGCACGAACGATCATACAAATGCTAGCTAGCATCAACGCTGGCATCATTACTAACACTGGCGCGTCAAATACGGTTGTCCGAATGGCACGAATGACAATTGCGTCACTGGCGGCATGTACTTATACCTTGCCAACTGAAAGTGCACAGATGTACCTTCACAACCTGGTCAAGCACAACCTGTCGCAACACAACATAACGATACGTCGCCGTACAGCCCTCCTGGAGAGTACATGCCTTTCTCCACCCGTCGCCGCGGTCCACTGTAGGCAGCCACATGTGAACCCTACCCCCACCGGTCCAAATCCTGGGGGGAGCCCAGGGCACCGGCGGGAGGTCAGAAACTGCGCGCGAGCAACAACGAAGCGATTCCTCTCGCAGGCCTAGAGATTGACACCAACACCAATTTCGGAGGTGTGCCTCCACCGAGGGAAGAAGATCCCGATCTCGGCGATGGTGGTAATATTCTGGCTTCCAAGGTGGCCGAACTATTACCACCAGCACCGAAAATCTAGGATCATCTTCCCCCTGTGGAGCCAACCCCCCGTCTTGGTGTTGGTGCCCATTTCCAGGCCTCCGATCCTCACCCGCATCCCCACCAGGTCGAAACCGATGGGTGGCGGCGGTAGGGCTCGGACTTCGTCGCTGACCCCAGTCAGGCGCCGCCGGTCAGAGCTTGCTGCGGGGAGCCCGGTCCTTGAGCCAGGCCTCGACTTGCTGCTGGGTGTGCTCGCCGCCCTGGCTGAGCGTGACCACCAGCTCCACCCCCTTGCCGTCAAAGACCTCCTGCTTCTCTCGCACGACCTTGATGCCCTTCGCGGTGATGAAGTTCGCGGACGGGAAAGTGACGAACGGGTCCGCGGACACCGAGATGTCGGCTTTCTGGCCAGCCTGGACGTACGCCGCCAGGTAGGGCAGCACAAGTTCGAACGCAAAGTCGCCGTGGGGCGCATTCGACGCCCCCGTGTGCCCCGGCGGCCGGCTGATCCTGAGAACCACTGGCGGCAGCTTCGCCGGGGCAGCGGACTTCACGAATGCGACGGCCGCCTTCCGGGGCGCTGCTTCCCTCGCTCTCTTTCTCTATCTCTCTCTCTCTCTCTCTCTTTCTATCTCTCTTTCTGCCTCTATCTCGGCCGAGCTCTGCTCTCTTTTCCGTCCCTCTCTCGGCCGAGCTCTGCTCTCTTCGGCGCTTGGGGGGGGGGCAGACACCCGCACCATCGGCTGGTGCCTGGCGATAGTCTGAAGATGGCGGCACTGACGCCGAGACTGGCTTTTTCGCAGGACGAGTGACAGTCCAGCATCAACAACTCCCCCACTTAGACTGACATGTGCTCGCTCGGGCTTTCAGAGCTGACCACCACTTGCACTCCTCAATCGCAGATCGATCGGTCGGTTGATACACTCGGATTGATCGGATCGGCTGTCGATCGGGGGGGGGGGGGGGGAGTTGCCACTGAGTGCGCAAGGTCCGCCCGCCACCTTGTAGGGCACAAGGGCGGACGGATTGAGTCTCTACAGGGACCCGCGCGAAAGCGCCTCAGCGAACCTCAAGGGTCGAGCGCCCCTCTTGCCGTTAGAGTCTTGCAGGAGTTGCCACGCCACCCCGGCTTGAGTTCCCAGCGCGCCTCGGAGGGCCTCTGCGCCTACCCCCCTCGTGAAGGAGGGCGTCTCCCCAGGTCGAGCGCCCATTCGCGACCTCTGGAACCCCGGAGAGGCACGTGGAGGCTTCTGGAGCCCCTTGGAAGCCCCCCGATGCTCTCGAGTTCCCGGGGGGGCCCTGGAGGCCCCTTGATGCACTCAGGAGGCCGCTGAAGTCGCCAATGGGACACGGAAGCCCTGCGTCTGCGCCCTCCACGCTGAACGACACGCACTGTCACGCCGCAAGGCATCCCAGGCCGAACCGATCGATGCCCGCGAAAACGTCGGCATGCAGAGTCGAGTCGATAGCCATGACCTTCGCCACCTCTGGCCGCTTGGACCGGCGCAGGAACAGCTCGCACAGCTCGGCGTCCGACATTGCTGGCCACGGCGCCGCGGCGAGCAGGGGACCAGAGTTGGAGGGAGGAGGACGACGCCTGCTGCAAACCAGCACCCACACTGGCCACGCCACTCCTGTGTCCATGAGTGGCGCGGGGCCCTAGCTTGGCCGCTGGCCAGGTCGGGAAGGCCTGCGGACTTCTCCCTCTGGGCCCCCAGGGTGGGCCTGGCCGTGTGAGGCGCCAGTGAACAGCAGGCGTCCCCCCAGCGATTCGCGGGAGGCCACGGTGAGCAGAGGATGGCGCGGGAGCACTTGGGCCCCAGCGGTCTTGAGCCAGAGCCGCCTCTGGACCCTCCTCGGACCGCGCGCGGGCAGCCCGCCTGCCGGCTCTCGGGAAAGGGGCGGCCTGGAGAAACCAAAAGACGACCCGCACTGCTACTCCGCGGACCTCTCCGATACGCAACACACAACACGTAGCGTATTGATACGGGGCTCAACACGTAGACTGAAAAAGTAGCTATGACGCAATACGTTCGCAAAACGTGGGCCCATACGCTGAACCAACGCCCAACGCGCAACACGGACGTTTTAAGCACGTTACGTGTTGCGTTTCAGAACGGTTTTCCTGGCGCCTCCTGGCGCTGGGAGGCGCCCGTGTATCGAGGAGTGGACCCGGCGGCGGGACGGACACTAGCTGCATGCAACAGATTCCGTAATCCCCAATTTCCCTATCCCACCCTTTCGCGCGGCCCAAACGAGGAAAGGGCAGCGTCAAGTCAAGAAGCCTTACGCCCATTGGCGCGTGGGCGAGACAACGCGCCGAACCTCTGGCGGGGAAGGCTCCTACTGAGCCGAGCCTCCGGCTGCTCCGAGACAGCGCGTTACTGCTGCGACGAGGGAAGGGCAGCGGTATCATCATATTGTCTTCCTCTGAGGCTAACCCTGGCTCGCACCGCCCGCGCGAATTGTGTAAGCGACGGAAGGAACCGGGTCTTACGCAAGATAGCACAGCGACCTTCCGCGGTGGCTCACGCGGGACTCCATCGTAGCGCGCTAGACTGGAAACGAAGGCGCTTACGCGGGCACCTTATGCGCGACCTTACGGCGAGGGAGGAGGAAAAGGATGAAAAGAAGGAGGAGGCGGAGGAGGAAGCAAGGAGGACGAGGAAGAGGAGAGGAGGAGGAGGAAGCAAGGAGGAAGCAAGGAGGAGGAGGAGGAAGCAAGGAGGAGGAGGAGGAGGAGGAGGAGGAGGAAGAAGAAGAGGCGAGGAGGAGGGGCAGGAGGGACGCCGCGCAACCGACCCCGTTCTCTTGCGGCGCCCACGTGGCAGCGGCGCCCTCCAGCAGGCGGAGGTCGGCGGGCGGGGGAAGAGGGCAGGAGCGGAGCGACGAGCTGCCGCGCCAGCGCCTGCCTGCGCGGGGCTCCCCCGTCGGCCGCCCGCTCGCCCGCTCTCGGGCGCGGCGGAGGGCGGCGCTGGCGGCCCTCCGCGGGGCGGGGCTGGTGGAGAGGGGGCGGTCTCGGCTTCTGCGTCCGATCCCTCTGGGGTGCGGGGGAGAGCGGACAGGGGAGGGAGGGGAGGGGAGGGAAGGGGGGAGGGAGGGAGGGGGGGGCGGGGACTTAGGGAGGGGGAGGAGAGGAGAGCGGAGGAGGACAGGGCGCGGAGGGCGGGGGCGGCCCCAGGGGGGCGCCGTCCTCCACGGAGACCTCCATGTCCTTGAGGCCCTGCCGCAGCGACTCGAACTCCTGCGTCGGCAGAGGGGGGCGGGTGGGGCCTGTGCAGAGGTCCTCGCGGATCTCTTGGATCGGCGCTGGACCCCGCTCCCTGGCGCGTGGAGCGCGCCACGCCAACCCAAGAGATCCGCGCGAACCTCCGAAAGCTTATGTGAGAATCGATGTTCCTCCAACTGTGGCAGTCCAGAGCGCCCGGGGCAGGAACGAGCAAGGGAGGCAAGAGGTAAAGGCGAAAGGGGGGGAGGGGCAGGGGGAGCCCGAGTGCACGGCGGGACAGCTCTGAGAAGAGCCCACAGTTGACACCACCACCGCACCTGCACGTCGCGGCAGCTGGCAAAAAGGCACCAGGAAGCTGGAAACACACGCGGCTGGACTTCCGTGTGGAACACTTGGAAGCCACGCGCTGGTTACACATGCGGAAGTGCAACGTGCCTGGTCGTATGTTGGCGGCGAGGCTGGTGGGGGAGTGGGAGGGGGAAGATCTTCTCAGAAGATGGCGGGGCTTCTCAGAAGCCCTGCGGCTTCTGAGAAGCCGTCTCCATCTCTGGAAAAGGCTGGGAACACTTCTCAGAGGCTGGAGGCCTTTCGAGCCTTCTGCGAAGGCCCGCCCCCCCTGACTTCCCCCCGGGACTCGCCGCCGAATGGAAGGGCCGAGCGATGGAGGAGGCATCCGGACTTAGCACGAGGGAAACGGGTCCTGAGGAAAACAGATCCTGGACCCCGGCGCATGCCACCAAGACGAGATCTCCATCCTGAGTCGCTTTCTGACCGTCCCGGGGCCCGCGGAGGGCCCCGGGAGAGCCCGAAAACGGCGAGAACCCTCAGGATCCCCCGGTTCCCTCAGGACCTGCTTCCCCCCCCACGGCGAACCAGGACACTGCCCTCGCCCGGGCCAGCCGCGCCGCGCGGCGGGAGAAGGGGCAGGGGCTAGGTCGAGCATGTCCTCCTACAGGCGGATTCAAAAGAAAAACGAAACATAGCATATCATATGGTGATGAATAAGAATACGAAAAATCGTCACCGGAGTAGGTTTGGAATATACTTGAATTTTCTTCCTGTAGAGGCGCATGCCCGACTTCAGGCAGGGGGGGGAGGGGCCGCGGAGGGAGAGCGGCAGCAGGCGACAGGAGGGGGCGACAGGGGGCGGAGGGGCCGGGAGGGGGGGAGAGCGGCAGCGGGAGCGGGGGCACGGAACGGGGGAGGGAGGGAGGGGGGGGAGGGAGGGAGGAGAGTCCAGGCCCTGGATGGGGGGAAACGAGGGAGGGGGGGAACGAGGGAGGGGGAAGGGAGGAGATGCCCTGGTGGGGGGGGGGAGCGAGGGAAGGGTAAGCGAGGGAGGGAGGGATCAACGAGGGGGGGAGCGAAGAAGGGGGGACGAGGAGGGAGGAGAGGAGATGAGGGAAACCCTGAGATCCTGGCGTTGCAATGCTGTCGAACCGGACGTCTTCGCCCGGTTTCGGGCCCCGGGACCCTGACAGCTCGATCCAGCTCGAAAAATGGCGCGCAAAGATGGGGTCTAGGGCTCCAGTCGTGATCTTTCACGATGTTCAATTTTTTTCGAAACGTCGGATCTCAGGGAGAGGAGAGGAGGGAAAGGGAGAGGGGAACAGGGAGGGAGACGAGGGAGTGGGGCAGAGGGGGGAGGGGAAAGGGGGTGGGCGGAAGGAAGGAAACAAACACACAAACGTACACTTTCGGAGGTCCACTCGATTTCTCGGATCGACGCTGGACCCCCTCCCTGGCTGGAGCTGGCGCGCGGAGCGCACCGAGGGGCGGCGCCAGAGGGAGGCGCTGCCGGGGGCGTCCTGCGCCGATCCCAAAAATCCGCGCGGAGTTCGGAAGGTGTGTATTCATGCCGACTGCTCTCTCTTCGGTCCACTCCCCCCCCTGAGCCCCTGTCTTCCCCCGCTGGGACCCCCTTCGCCCCTGCCTCGCCACCCCATCCTCGGCGATGCGCCCCTGCACTCACGAGGAGGGCAGGCGAAGACGAGAGCGACCGCGGCGGCGCGACTCCGTCGGAGAGCGCCTGCGTGTTGGGCTCGCGAGTGCGCTGTGAGGGGCAGGAAATCCCCCCCCCAGAATAAGCACCCCGACAAGCGAAGCCGTGCGCACCCAAAGAAGGAATCGAACAGGGCAGGGCCGCTCAGTAAACCTCCAAGGCCGTTTAGTAAACGCCCGCTGTTGGGGTCTGAGTGGTTTTCCTCCCTTGACGCTGTGCGTTCCCTCTGGTGGCCCCCACCCGCGACTCGAGCTTTTCGAAACATGCCCCCCCCCAGGGCCTCCCGACCCCCTCTCGGGGGCTCGCTTCCCGGAGCGCCACCATCGGAACGTGCACAACTGATGCTGCTGCACGCAGTGCGGGTGTTAGTAGAACGTCCAAGCCTGCGCGCAGGATGCACAGGATGCACAAGACCAGCGAGTGCGCGCGAGGCCCTGTTCTGCCGCCGCCGACGCGCCGTGGGGCGTACCCCCTCAACCAACGACGCGATTTGTTTTGCGACGTGGGCCGCTGGGGATCTACTCGACCCCCTTTCCCAAGACCGACAGCTCATTCCTGAGCCGTCCCCCGAGATCCTACGGCGCGAACTTCATCATCATGAACAACCGCGGCCGGAGACATAGACCACACCTTCCTGCAGCACATCTCGAGCCGGATCGATCTGTGAGGGTCCTGGGGCCCGATGACGGACGAAAGCGCCGGCGTGAGGAAAAACGACACCCTGACCTCAAGGTTTGTGGATGCCGTGGCAATGGACGCTCTAACCGCTCTATCATTGAACTGCAAGGATTTTCGACATGTCTTCTACATGTTAAAAACAGAGTTAAGCATGTTCTAGCTTCTAGCAACTGAGAAACATATCTAAAACATGTATTAGACATGTGAAAATGATTCGCCAACACGCCTCCTCTCCATGGATCGCCTTCGACAACTCAAGCTCTGGTGTCGGCCCCAGGGCCCGAAGCCGACCTCTACAGAAGCCGAACGTCGTGGAAGAGCAGCCGCCCCGATGCTGCCTGGGGCGCCGGATGTCCTGGGCACGGGCACCCCCTCCCTGCACTCGCGGGGGAGCTGGCAGAGAGGGGAACGGGATTTATGATTTTCCAACCCACTTCAGCCTTGATCGCCAGAGAGAATTTCGAGCACCAAGAAAATATCGAAGCTGGACGGTTTTCACGCGTCGGACCCTGGGAGGCGATACTCGTTCGACACTTCGAGAGCGCGTCGGGCAGGCACTGCTTCGATACTCTTCGGGGTTCCGTAAGTGCGATGGGAACAACAGAAGACGGGCTGCCTCAGCGAGGGGGGCAGTGACCTGGAGTCGACGACACGTGGCCGTGCCACCTCTGGGGAGGCCAGTTTCTACTTCCGCCAGCCTTCCGCCGGCGGAGACGCCGGCGGAGACGCCGCCGTTTACTTCCGCGGGCTCCAGCCGCCTTCCGCCGACTCACTCCTTCGATCCTCGAAGGCGAGGCCCTTTCTGGAACGCCTCACGTCGCCGACAGCTCGGCGACGGGCCCCCTCGCCGGGGAAGCCCCGCGCCACTGGGCAGGCTGGAGCGACCCGGGCCCCGATTGGCAAGGGATGGGCGGTCGGGGGCCCGCCCCGTGAGCCGGTCCTCCTCTGCCGTGGCCCCCGAGTCAGCGCGAAGCCCCTGCTGGCTGTCGGGCCCTACGGTGGGGCATGGGGTCAGCAACCGCTGGACAGGGGGCCCAGGGCCTGCGAGCCGCAGGAGCACCAGCTGAGGCTCGGCCATGGACATCACCGCCCTCATCAGACAAGGAGTCGTCCAGGGTCTGAGGCCTCCTGGGTACATTCCTTAGCGCACGCCCTCACTGTAACTCAAGCCTCCGGCGGCAGGCGGGACAATCCCCGCATTCCTGGAACGCCCTCGGCGAGGCACAGCTGATGAAAGCCACCCCCTGCCCCCGGAAACCCGAGAAAACTTCCGAAAACGCCTCTGTCGGACGTTGTCAGGACTGGTTTTAGTGGGACCTGGCTCGATGATGTGCACCAGAGGACGCCCCCCCGCCCCATTCCACTGACCAGAACTGCCGCCACCCGAAGAAACCTGGCTCCTTGAGATCCGACGTTTCGACAAAAACAAGTGGCACGTGCGCCATAGCCCTTGCACAAAAAGGAAGGGGGAGGAGGAGGAGGAGGAGGAGGAGGAGGAGGAGGAGGAGGAGGTGGAGGAGGAGGGGGGAAGAGGGGGCAAAGCATCGCCCTCTGGGCCCAGCAACGGGGCCCGAGTCCCAGGTGGGGAGGGTGGGGGAGGCGGCGTGCGTCGCGACGCTGGATAAAGTGCTCGGAGCGGAGGGAGCACGGGGCGGAGGTCCCACTGGGGCGCTGGGGGCGCGGAGAGGAGGGGTGGTGGTGTGTGCCGCGACGCGGAATAAACTGTCGGGGCGGAGGGGGCACTGGGCGGGGCTTGGGGCAGAGGGCCACGGGGCGGGGGTCCAACTGGGGCGCTGGGGAAAGGGGGGGAAGGGGGGGAGGTGGCGTGCGTCGCGACGCGGAATAAAATTGTCGGGGCGGAGGGGGCACGGGGCGGAGTCCCCACTGGGGCGCTGGGGACGCGGGGAGGGAGGTGGGGGAGGTGGTGTGCGGCGCGACGCGGGATGAAGCGTTAGTGGCGGAAGGGGCAGTGGGCGGGGCCCCCGCTGGGGCGCTGGGGACGCGGGGGGCTTGGGGCAGAGAGCCACGGCGCGGGGGCCCCACACTGGCGCTGGGGACGCGGGGGGGGGGGGGAGGTGCGACGCGGGATAAAGCGTTCGTGGCGGAGGGGGCAGTGGGCGTGGCCCCCGCTGGGGCGCTGGGGACGCGGTGGGCTCGGGGCGGAAAGCCACGGCGCGGGGGCCTCACACTGGCGCTGGGGGCGCGGGGGGGCGGGGGGGCGACGCGGGATAAAGCGTTGTGGCGGAGGGGGCAGTGGGCGGGGCCCCCGCTGGGGCGCTGGGGACGCGGGGGGGCTTGGGGCAGAGAGCCACGGCGCGGGGGCCCCACTCTGGCGCT